GGTTTTTTCTTTATCCTGTGCTCTCCACTAGCCACACATGGCTTAAGTGGAGTCAAAATTAAATGTAAAGTTGTTTCCCGTTACATTACCTTACCTAAGTTCAAGTACTCATCAGGCACCTTATTGGAGAGCACAGAAGAAAGATTAGGAATTTTTTTTTTTTTTTTTGCCGTTCTTTTGGTTGTTTTGTTTTTGAGAGGGTCTCATGCAGTCCAGGCTGGCCTGAGACCTGCTATGTAGCTAAGGATGACCTTGAACTCCTGAACCCCTCCCAAACTCCTGACCCCCCCTCCTAGTTCTGGATTACAGATGTTCAGCACCATGCCCAGCCTTGGATTATGTCCATAAACACAGAACGTTGAATTAAACATCAGTAAATAGGATGTTTGGAATGTCAGCTCTTAAAAGCAGAAACTCACTTGTCTCCCTCTTAGAGACAGTCTACTTAGCATCCTTCTGCCTCAGCCACCAAGTGCTTTAATTATAAGCATTTACCACCACAGTTAACTCAGACCTTGGCTTTTCTATTCCCTGTTAAATCCCAAACTGAATCTACAGCAGAGCCTAGCTCTCAATAAATCCTGGTGACATTTCTAGATCTGTCTCTGCCGCCACACTCAGCCATTGGCATGAGCAGTGTGGAGCTGGAGCTGGGGCTGGGGCTGGGGCTGGTGGAGCAGTGCTGAGCTAAGCTGGCCATGTCGGGGAAATGACAGCAAGGGTGCTTGTCTTGTATTCCGAGCTGGTGTCACTTCTCTTGGCTCCATCCCTTGCTAAGTGTGGATCTGGGGCACCTTGATTAAACTGAGCCTCACCAGCCACCAAGGTTACAGTGTCTATCTGGGAAGATGAGAGGATGGAAATGAAACCACTGGTGCAGAGCCTCCTGCATGGTGGGTTCTCAGTGTTTCTTTTCTTTCTATGCCTTTCTGACTTCCTGCTCAGCTCCAAGATACACCACCCAGGGAAGGTCCTAAGGTAGAGGATGGCTGACCTGATCCCCTCCCTGGGAGGAGCTGAGCATGTTATGGATTGTAGACCCCCAGAGTTAAAGCTAGAACCTTCAAGGGTACCTGTTTGTTTAGTTTTGTTTTCTTTTGAGACAAGGTCTCATATAGCCCAGGCTCACCTCAAAAATTGTATTTTTCTATATAATTTTTTCTGCTATATTTCTGTGGGAGGGTGACCTTGGACTCCTGATCCTCCTGCCTCTGACTCCCAAGTTCTGAGATTACAGGCATGTGCTATCACACCAAACTTAACAATACTTATTTCTGTTTGTGCGCTGTCCCCCACGTGAGACCTATCTGCCAGAGAAAAGCAGGATTTGAAGTGTATATTTTGCTACCAAAGGCCATGAAACCCTGGCAATTCATCTCCTTTTTCAGAGCTCACTTTCTACACTCTGTATAGTACGCACAATGACTCTTGGGCTGTCTGGAAATTGAAGAAGAAAACAGGGGGGGGGGGGGCAAAAAAATGTTTTTTTTTTAG